TTGCTGTCTTCTTCTGAGACAGACCCCTATCAAACTAACTCATTACTTCAGCAATCAGTCTAAACATAGCAGTCTTGATTCTGCCATCAGTTATACCACATTTAGTCTCATAGCAAAATGTTAGGAGGCTAAAAACATAATCACACATTGGTTTTCATTGTACTGGGTCACTTTTGTGTTTGGGAGACTGTGAGATGATCAGCTGCTCCTGACATGGAGAGATGGGCAATTTGAGCAACATGATACAACTATTGAGGAAGGAGAGGCAGTGGGGAAGCAGAAGCCCCAATCCTGTGTATTAGGGTGTGGTGCTCAGTCACCATGCGGAGAGGCAAGTGTCTGTAACATCTGAGAAACCAGGGAAGCTTGTTTGTTTGGGAAGAAATAAAATTAACTGGTTCTGTGCCTTTGTGAGCTGTGATGGATGCATACTTGAAATGATGTACATAGGGTACAGTTCTTGATTCTTCCATTGATCTTATGAGGCTGGATGAAGGAAAGTGGAAGCAGTGGGTCAAAAGCCTGGTACAGCTCCAATGTGGATGGAGTTGAAAGTTGAGACCTCCTCTTTAGCAGATTTTTCTCTCTGACATCAGGAGGGGGGTGGATATCTATGAGGTAGGCTTGATAGCAGTTGCATACTGCCTTTTCCCTATTCCTTTAATGAGAACCTGTGAGAAAGTCATAGGCTTTGTAGGATATAAAGGTAGCTGCTGAGAAACTGGCTGTGTTTTTCTTAAGGGTTCAGAGTCAGCAGTGGTAGACAGAAAGGCATCACCTTACCTCCCTTCTCATCAAAACTTCTGTGAGGTTATTTCAGGTGTAATTTATGAAAAGCTGAGGAGTAGGTACCCCTCCACTGAACCTCTATAGGTTGCATCCCACTGTTTGACAAGTAGTGTGGTAAAGCATTTCTCTGTACAAGGTCAGATTAATCTTTTTTTATGGAGTTTCACATGAATGCTTTGCTTTGGGATTGTTTCTCCATGCATAAATCTTTATTATACCAACAGCCTACAGCCCCAGTGAACCAAAAAAACCTAATTTTTATTCTTCTCTGTGTTTATCACCACAGTGAGAGAACTCAATTGAAAAGGAGCTGTGAGAGTTTCCAGCAAGTGTGGTGGTGGTTTGGGTGCTCTGAGCCTTCAGTGGGTTTATGTTCCTTCCTTTTAAATTTGAATGGTATGTGCCAAGCTGGTTCTGGCCCCAGATTGTGCATCATTCCCTTTGGAATGACACTGAGGATTGAACTGAAAATGAACTGTTGTTGGAAGGTGCTGTGGGAATAGAGGAGCAGGTTGTGCATATGACCATGCATGCACTTTAGTATGGCAAGTCAGAAAATGTGCTGAAGTGTGCAGGCTGTGCTTTGCAGCCAGCTCAGTCTGAAGCCTTGATTTCTACTTACCAATAAGTTGGTTTGAGTTCAGGTGTGGTTCTTCTTTAGAGGGAGAAGACACATGTGCTGACATGTAGGTGCTTGTGGCTTTTACCAGATGATGAATTTGAACCCTACAGCTTAAAGTTGACCTCACGTAATTTACCTTTGTAATAAAAGATACAGTGCAGGTCTCTTCTGTCTGCACACAGGGGGATTGCTAATACATATTAGTTATCTGTGATAAAACTGCATGGGCTTTGTCAATGAATGCAAATGGTAAGAAAGATAAAACTAGATGTTTTATATAAAACCAAAATTTTTTTTTATGGAGATAAAGGTTAATCCTACTTATCTAGGTTTTGACTTTCTGAACAGTGTACATTAGTTTTGGTTCACTGTATGACTTCCAAAATCTGCAGTGCATGAAACCAAATTGCCAGCTTGGAGGAACCTCTGAGGAAAAGACTTAGACATGATACATAACCATCACTGAGAGAAGTTTTATTCTCATATTTCCTAAATTTTGAGTACGCGACTCTGCAATTTTAGCACCCTCTATGATGGCAATGTCATACCTATTTCCCTCATATGAACTGAGGCAGGAGCACCATCATGGTTTCGCCAGAAGGTCCACCCTCCTTTTGCTGGTGAACACACCAGCACAACAGGCAACAGCAGCTGCCTGCTCCAGTCTGCAGATGGGGGGGTTTAGCAGAGTTAGTGTTGCAGAGGAAAACACTCTTGAGTTGTGAAACTTCACTTACTTTATTGTGAATTAGGATAAACTTTTAATTGCTGTTCCTGGTATTGAGAAATAATGACTCATCCCCTTGCCAGTCTCCAGTTCACTTGCTGTACATGTCATGTCCTCAGTCATGAGGGTCAGTGCAGGGGGCTTTCCTTTTTCTGCCACTCCTTGTTTCTTGCTTTTTTTCCCCTGGCTCCAGCATAGGGTCCTCCCCATGCCATCGTCCTCTCAAAGGCCTTGCCCCTCCTGGGTATCCGTGTGTGGAGGTGTCCTCTGCCCCTGCCTTGCCATTGTCTCTGGTGTCTCCTGCCTCAATTGGCTGCTGCCTGTAGGTACAGTTTCTCTAAAACTGGTTGCCAGATCATATCCTGAAAGAAACCATTCTCCATCTGCTGTTAAAAATGTTCTTCCTTAAGCTCCCCTTTCTCCTGCAAAGTCATTCCCTGGCTTCATCTGTACTTTCTCCATGCTGCTGAGTGCAGAGGAAGGAGGAAAAGCTTTCTTGAGAGCAAAGGAAAAACAGGTCCCTGAATTTTATTCCAGTTCCTGGACATACCCAATGTTTAAGGTCATGTCCTGTGAAGCGGGACTGGAGGCTTTTGGCTCTGGGGAGATGGCAGAAAGGCATCACGGGTGAGCATGGGCACCACAGGAGCAGAAAAGATTCTCTGTGGGATGGTTTGTGGGTTGTGTGGTCATGCGTGAGTATGTGGTTGTACACTTTGCAGGTTTTAGCTGCTGAGCTCTCTCATCTCTACTGGATGTGTGAAATGCAGTTTTTTGAAGGGTAATAACTTTCCCACGAAAATGCACTCATAGTTGGGTAAGACAAAGGCATGTGCCTGAAATGGAGCCACACTGTTTTGGGTCCCTGCTCTAAACACTGCAGTGTGACAGGATTGCAAATTAAATCACCAGAAATTTAACCTGGGCAGAATAACATACTTTACCCTGCTTCATTCTTAAAAGTAATTGAAGTTCTATTTTTGTCATTCTTTCAAAAGCTTTTATCCTTTAGACAGAAACAAGTGCAGAATATATAAACACAGACAATTATGGTTTTGCAAAATGATAAGCTGATGAAATTGAGATCCTGTGGTAGGAAATGCTGATCACTATTAATAATTGGTATCAACCCTTCCTTTGTTCTAGAAGTTGTCTAATGCAATCCTGGCTATGCCTGGGAATTTCACAGGGAGAGAGTGGTGTTCACATGCACATTTTGGTAAAGCAATGCTTTACAGATGAGCAAAAAAGTGCTCTGCAGCCAAATGAATAGAGCAAAGTGTCTGTGCATATTTGCAGAGAGTGATGTGCTTTGTCCTATTTCATTTAATGCTATGCAGAAGGCTAAAATTCTAAAAAGTAAGCAAGCTGCACCAAGATTGGTTTGCAAAGCCATACAGGTCAGTGTTGGTTGGTAATGACATGGAAATCAGCTTGGATCATGAGCATAAATGGGTTCTGTGATTCAAAACTGGGCAGTAATAGGATCCAGTATTAGGGTCAGGCAGGTGTGAAAATACTGGTGATGAAGATTTGAAAATAAATAATTTAAGATTCACAGGGCAAAATGCAATGATTTCTGTAGACACAGTAATTCTACGAGAGGAGAAAAGTATTTTCCCCTTCTTGACCTTTTGCCCTCCATTCAGTCACAGAAATCCATAGGTTCAAGGGTTTGGTTTTGACTTACCAGGCAGTGCAGAAATTCTGATAAAGGCTTAGTAGCTATTAAACTTTCATAAGTTTGCAGCCTTTTGGTTGAAGCTAAAGAGACAGTAGCTGGTTTTTTTCTCTTGGGGATGAGATTCTAATTAAGTCAGTGTTGCTCAGTATTAGAATTCCAGCCTTACAAGCTGCTAAGTGTGTGGAGTTTGTGTTATAGGGAGCAGGACCTTTGCCTGAGCCTAAAATATTTCCAAAGTTACTCTCTCCTTTACCTATCTTTGCAAAACTCAGTTTCATTTAGTGCTCTGATAGCATTCATTCTTAAGTTCTGTGCAACTGCTGTGTTGATGCTGCTGCAGACCTGTGCTGCAGACCCATCCAGCATCTTAACAAAATGCAGAGGATATGGTTTTCCAGAAGTGTTTGGCATTGTCAACAGTTTCTCTCACTGAAGTCGATCAAAGCTGAGGGCTTTAGAGAATCTACCTGAAATCCCTACGTTAAAAGTTTTTTATCCACGCCTTTGAGCTTTTGACTACTGGGTTTTAGACAGTTCCATGGCTGATAAGAAAAGGTGGTGAACTGACTTTGCTTTGATGTCTTCAGTACAAATCAGCCCCTTTCAACTGAAACTCATGCGTGATTTGTGTAGCTGCCTGAAACTCCTTGTAAGGCTACTTGGTATACTTTTCACTTCTCCCACAATTCCCATTGAAAGGAGCTATGACTTCCTGGGTTATGGCCCAGGCTACCTTCTCTTGCAATGGAAAGTTGAAGCTGTGGATTTCACTGATAGCATTGGATATCACTGGGTATTATTGGATATCTCACTGGTAGCACTGACGATATCCAATGGGGAAAAAAAAAAGAAAACCCAGTGTGGGAAGAGTCCTCAAGTGTTGCTGTCAAACGGAGCACTGGCTTGCTCTTTGTGGGGTTTTAGGCTGTTCCACTGAAACCAGTGATATAAATGAGCCATATGTATGCACAGATACCATCATGTTTCCTGACTACTATTTTACCCCCTTTCTCAGTTGCTGTATGTCGCAGCGGATTTGTATTTTGCTGCCTATATGAGTCCCACTCCCCATTCTGCATGATCTGCTGAATGTACTTACTGTGCATCCAGAAAGAGCTGAAATAGATGTTGATGGCTTTTGCTTTTGTTTTATCCCCTGTCCCTTCTTCTCTTGACAGTTTTTTATCATGCTGTTAATTATATTTCTGTTGGAGCTCACTGTTGTGATTCTGTTCTTCGTCTACACCGACAAGGTAAGTCAAATTCTTCATTTTTCTTTCCCCTTCAGCAAATTTATATGCCCCTTTTCCCTATAAATAAATCATGAAGCACTTGGCTTGGTATGCACATCATGCTTCTGTCTTCCTTGAGACACTCCTCTCAGAAGGAGCTCTCTCAGAATGCATAAACAGCCTTGCAGGACTGGGCTGTCTTGCTTGCTCATGTGTACAACTCAAGGTCACAGATGCTGCCAAGTGCATCTGTCATTAACAAAAAACAAAACAAACCCCAAAAACCCCTACAAAAAGTAAAAGAAGTGAATGAGCCTCACTAAGAGCATGTAGGAAGAGACAACCATCAGAATGAATAGGATTTTTTTTAAATATGTGTACAATTTAAAAGCCACATTGATGTTGTTACAAAGGAGGTGTCCTTAACACAGCCAAATGCACAAAATTAATTATCTTTCCACATTGTTTCTTACAGCACATGTACTTAGAATCTAGTGGAAAGCCAAGGTAAATACATAAAAGTTCAATAAACAAAGCTTTTGTTTGTGGTTTCAAATTTTACTTATGTTTTACTGTTGTTCCTTCTGTTGTAAGGACAGTATTGGCTATCTGAATTATCTGTATCCTTAAATTAATTTTTCTTTAAAATATTTTACATTAATAAATCCAAAACAAGGGCATAATTCTGTGCAACCTGCCTATTCAATCAAAATTGTCAAATACTAAGGGAGCTTGAAAATCACTGGGTAGGTGGCAAAATTTTGCCGTGAATTAACAGCCATCAGGTGTATGGCCAATAAATGCCTTCTTCTGGAATGGAAAGGCAAAATAGCAAATTAAAAAAAAAATCAAAAAACAACAAACAAACAAAAAAAACCCCTTCACAAATTATCAAAATAAAATGAAGATTAACAGTAGACCTAGTTATATTCAGTATGTTTAGCAATAACCTGGATTAGGAGTGGATAAGATGTCAACATTACTTTCTAGAAAGGTTACAGATTTATTAATGAGCACTGTGAGTGATTGTCAGGTGAACTTCTGAAGGACTGAAGAGAGCTAGGTTGCCAGACAACATCCTGTAGCTGGAACATGGAATTAACTTGCAAGGTAATTACAGTAGAAGGGACAATATAAAATTACTTGTATGCATCATTGGATTCTGAATTACTTGTCACCTCATGGAAGAAAGACCTACATGTCATACATGAATAAAGGCATCTACTTGATATGCAGTGGGCCTCCAAAACCCAAACACAACACTTGGTTATATTTAGAGAGGGAATCAGTCAGAAAATATTATCATGTCATTGTATAAATTGATGGACTTGCCTCACTGTGAATGTAATATTGAGTTTTGGTTACAGAAACTATTAGAAGTGCTAGAAAGGTGGGAGAGAGAAGTCATGAAGAAGGAATAATGGAGACGACCTGGATTTAGTCTGGGAAAGAGATCGTATGCTTAGAAGATCTTAAGAAGAGACATTCTAGTAGTGTCTAAAATAATGACAGACCTAAAATAAAGACCTGACCTGAACACAGAAGAAATATATGAAAATATTAAGGATTAGGTTTATAAGATAAATATTTATTGTGCTCCACATCATCCTCTTGTAGAATTCCCTGGTTTTGGCTGGTGTTGAGACTGATAGTTCAATAAATATGTGGGTATGGAGGAAAGAAAAAAAAGCAATGAAGTATTTTTATTCGTAAAGCACTCAGCTCTGTTAGCTTGACAAGTGTGTCACAGAGGATGTTCATCCTCACTCTTCAGAGATAAAAAACAGTGAAAAAGTATCAGGAGGGATTCTCTCCCTCCTTCAGCCTGGTGGTTTGCAGTGGTTTTTTTTGGTTTTTAATAAAGAGATCAGGAAATTAACTTTCCTCTGAGTCACGTACTGTAGGTTGATGCAGGAGGTACACTGCAGTTGTCCTTAAGATCAAAACAGAGTCTAAAATATGGGCTCCATATAGCTGCAGTTTTACTGAGTTAACAAATTGCTGTAGTCTGTGTATTTATTGCAGATGATCAAATTTGAGGCTCTTAATGTTCCTGTATGATTTTAAATCTTCTACTGAAGAAATCAATAGCTTGTGTTACACTTACAGTCCTGCCTACAGAATAAATAAAACAGCAGCAACCTAAAACTAATATTTTCATACAACATGTTTAGAATTTGTGTGCTGGCTTTCCTGATGTGAGGAACGGTATTGCTATGTGTATGGGGAAGTACCTCACTCAAACAAGTCCACCACAGTAATTCAGTTAATGTGGTTCCTTGGAAAATCAGTGAAGGAACAATTTACACTAACACTTGCCTATCAGAAGACAGTAACGTTAATTTTGTGTGCAAATGGAGAAAAGGACTCTGCAGATTATGACTTTGAGGGCCTCTGTATCAGTCATTTTAGATGTAGATAGATACAGATGTATATTTGTCATCAGTTTTTTCAAGTACCTTGTAGCTTTCTGTTAGTCAAGAGTGTATGTACATGTAAAATTCTTCCCAGGATGAAATGGGGGCCAATTGTTATTTTCTGTTTCTGGTTGAGAAGAGATTGAATAATGAATTCCCTTGCAGTTTTTATTTACTCCTGCTTTGTCAAGTGGAGGAACTTTGGAGTGGACACTTTGTTCCTTGCTGCTACAAATTTTAATCAATACTCCCCTTTCCTTGGAGTAGGCAGTGCTATGACCCTATTTAGGTGTAGGGGCAGGTGCTGAGAGAGTTTCCCGAGACACTGCAGAAAGCTGATTCTAAATTTAGAGCTGTTCATGTTTTGGCTGCTGCTGAGGGATTGGAGAGGCTGAGCTGTGCCATGGCAGGGCTGGGTATTGCAGGTGACTCAGTAGCACTTGTCTGGTGAATGGTGTCCCTTTTGTTCCTTCTGCTGTAGAATGGGCACAGCCACAGGCTGATGCTCCCATGGCAATATCAGCCGCAGGGTGGGTGTGCATCTGTGTGAATGTGGCACTGCATGGGCTCCTGAGCTGTGAAGCAGTGTCTATATCCACTGCTGGGACTGTTGCTTTAGTAGTGTGTTGGTTATTACAAATAATGCAAAAGTTCTTTACAGCCATTCATGAATACGTTTTTGGCACAGCACTTTTGTTCTTTTACTGTCGGAGGATGTGCAGCTGTAGAGGTGAACAGGACAGGCTCCTGGGACTCACCTGTTCTCATTCATCAACCTGGGAGAAACAGGTTGATGAATGCCTCTCATTCTAGTGACTTGATAGCAGCTTCTCTGAGCTTTGAAGCAACCAAATTGCTCTCATGCCCTAGAATGTCTTTTCTTGATGGACAGATGTTTATCTTGATCTCATGAGATAAATGGCACCCTGAAGTCTACAACGCTTTCTCTGAACTAGCTATGCAGTCTGATATTGTAAAGAGAGGGACTTGGAGAAAGCTCAGGAATCCACAGTGTAGGAAGGAAAAGCTGTAATGCCTTGCTTCTTGAAGCTGCACTGTGGATCTCTTTGGCAGGGCCTGAGTTCACACCGTGTTCACTATTCCTTCAACTATCCCGACTTGTTGGAAAATACAAGTCTCTTGACTTCTGCAGAAGTGAATGTGGGCTGTGATGAAATGCATTCTTGTGGGAAGGTTGTCAGGAAAACATTTTGTCCTGGCTGTTTCCAGAGCAGCAGAGTGACGGGTTCATGGGTTGTCTTCAGCAAAAAGTAGCACCCAAGAGACTGGGAAGCTCCTGTTGGTGTTTGTGCATGTTCATATACAAGTTCCCAAAGAGTAGTTTTTATTTTTTTGAGGTCAGAAGTATCAGTCCAAGAGATGTGGGTATTGAATGGAGTTCGTGTGATTATGAGAACTAAGGCAGGTTGTTATGACTCTCGAGTGCAGTATTTTTTCAGGCTGCATTTATGCCCCATTTGAAACAGTCCAAACACCAGTGACATTGTTAGAGTCATGGTTATGTGAATGGCTAGACATCTGTAGCTGAAATATTCTCTTAGTATGTTTTATTTTGATTCCATTAATACAGAGCAGCATTTGACATTTTTATAAGTTTGTCATTTCTGTATGAGGCTATCTATGTATTTATAAGAGATACACAAAGTACTGATAGGGTTAACCTTAATTTCATTGTGATAAAGAGAAAGCAGCAGAGCCCTATCCTGTCAGAGGCTGGATACTCGAATTTCTCAACACCAGATTGGATCCTGCTAGAATATAAATTATACTAATAAAATACACAGTCTTGTACCAGTTCTAACTTGTATAATTCTTATGGTTTTAGAATCTGTATTTATTTTTACTGTGATGAATCTCCTGGAGGCACAGGGGAAAAAAAAGGTCTATATTTGTTTTTTTTTGAAGTAGGTTTATTCAGATGTCTGCATTTTAAATGATTTACAGGCAGAGCTATTTAATGCCCACAAATGGAAGAACATAACTAAGTAATGGGGGAGGGGGGTTGTGTTATTTTTTTCTTTTTAAATGTCAAACTGAGTAACATAAGCCATGAAGGAACAAAAGCACTGAAGGATCACTGAGTATGAGATTTGATTGTGGCAGCAGTTACTGCTGTTGGCAACTCAAGGTTAGGATGAGAATTTTCAATAAAGATTAGGCCATTAACTCACTTGGGAGTCCCTGTGAAAATTACAGCCTGAATTCCATGCCTTCTTAGCTGTGTTGAAAATGGCCCATAGAATGGCCCACAGAGGATTGAAAAATAATGGCTACTTCTGTTTTTCATGAGATGTGTGAAAACGTTCTTATTTTCCATGTTGCGGTAAATTGTAATGAGCTCCTCTATAGCTTTTACTGCTAGCTTGTAAAAATATATAGTCTGTAGATTGATGCATTTCTTGCTTTGTTTCTCAAAAAAATTTTGAAAATTATTGTAATTCCTGATTGATATTTTGCCTCATCCCATACAGAGACAGCAGATTGGAATGTAGTGAATATGATTTCAAGTATAGCTCAGTCCTCACAACCACTTTCACATTTGGCTTTAAAAGTCCAAAAACACTTCCACCTGCTGTACTCGTG